TTCATTGAGCTCGTATAATGTGTTGACCGAAGCTCTGGACCCCCTCCCCAACTTCGTCACTACTCCCCGGCTCTCATTCTCGTCACAATGTCTCGTGGTGAACCATTTTGCACCGCTGTTTTGGCGTTTTCTCGCATAATTAGCGCAATTCATTCATGTGTATGTCTGACTTCAGTAACATAAAATGGTTTTTTAAATTAATTAAATAAGAGCAACAGGCCGTATACGATGTCGACGCTAAAACTCGTGAGCGCATTATTGAAATTGATGGATAAAACGATAGACCAAGGTAGGGCCGGATTCAGGGGGTGACCACATGGGCCGCGGCCCACAACGGCAAATTTTGAATTTTTTTTTAAAATGTAGCTGTAAGGAAAAATCGGATTCAGAAAAAAAATTACGAATAAGAAAAGGTGACCAAATTTCTCATTTCCCATGAGTATATCTGTGATTTTCTCGTCTTTCTGTGATTCAATAGACAGCACCTTTAATTATTCGAGTTAACACAAAGAGAGAAACCGAACACGGAATTTGGCCTGGAACGGTGCAGCGCAGAGAGCAATGATGACGAGAACTTGAGATGTAAGGGAGAAACCCTTAGAGCGGCGTTGCGGTTGGCATGTAACACATATTAGCCCCTACAAGACTGCATGAATACTTCTCGCATTGCGTCAAAGGCAATGCGGTCGCTCCGGTCAGTAGCGGGCGGCGTGAAACGCATAGCGCCTACAAGACTGCATGAATACTTCACGCATTGCGCCAAAGTGCGGTCAGCGCAACGCGGCGGCGGAAGTTAAAATTATTAAACCACATTTATGTTTGTTCTTTCATAATATTTTCGTTCATTTCATGTAAGTGGAAGGCCTTGTCCACACAGAGATAGGTTTACGAAACTTAACTCTCGCGCTAATTTCCGTGGACTCTTGCTGGGAGTGTTGATAGGGCTTTCGCAAAAAATGTGTCCAACACGAGTAAACGCGTCTTATGCACCCCTCCCCCCTCCGGCACGATCACGTGTTGGTTTTTATTGGTGTTTCAAAACAAATGAGAAGGGGGCGGCAAAATACAGGCGGCCCATGGACGGCGAGTAAGTAAATCCGGCCTTGGACTAAGAAATTAAAGGGAGAATTGGATTACATTTTGCAATAAGGAACCACTATTACTGGCTCATTTTAGAAACAACATATGTGCCATTGATTTCCCTATAAATATACGTGCTTTTATGGGAGAGCCAGAGATATTGGTTCCTTATTGCAAAATGTAATCCAATTGATTTCATATTTCCCACTCGCCACACCACCTAAAGTCAGTCAAATGCTGTGCTGAGCTCTGCAGCAAGCGGGAATTTGGGTTTTTGAGTTTCTTTACTGTCATACCCGCCGAAAAGGAACGAGACGCTTACTTTTGATGCAACGTCATCTTATGGAGCGCGACCGAAACAGCAGTTGAGTATCCGTCTGCCAATCAGTCGATTAGCAGGATGATTCTTTCAACGGGTCTCGATCTCAGGCTGCCAAAACCTTGTCGGACGTCAGGCGAAGCTATAAATGAACGTTAAGTAGTAAAGTTTTTTCTTTTCCTCTTCTTTCGTTACTCATGGGAAACAAATTGATGAATCGGGTTTTACTGTAAGGGGGATGTCCACACATTAAGGCCTAGATACACACGGCGATTGATCGCCGCGAGTGATAGACGGAAGCCAATGGAGAGCCTTGATTTCGATCCATTGACGTCGATATTTCGAAATCGAGGCTCTCCATTGGCTTTCGTCTTTCACTCGCGGCGATTAATCGCCGTGTGTATCTAGACCCTTACGTCTTGCGATTTTCCCGATTTTTTTTACACCCACCCATCTTTCATAACGCTTTTACCGAACCTGGAGAGGTGATCCTAGCGCATCGGCCGGCAGTTCGCCTGCAATTTTCGGTGTAGGCAACCACGAGCTCCCAAGTGGTCGAATAGTGGTATCACTATGAAATGGCACGCTAATTCGGAATTCACACAGACGCGAAAAGTGACTTTAAGGCTTCATTAGCTCCCGTGCAATTCCAACTTAAGGCAATAGTAACTCTCACTTGGCCGGAAAGTGGATTGTAACGTAATGCTTGTATAGCTTCTATAAATTGGCAAGGCTAATTAAATTGAATTTAAATGTGATTTGAAAAGGGCGAATTGGATTCAGAAATGAGCATTTGAGGAAAGAACTGTTGAAAATATGTGTCGTAAGTAAAACGAATGAAAAAAATACATACCTAGGATAATAAATGGTGATGGAATTATTATACGTGTTGAAGTAAGAAGAAAATATGGATAGGATAAACATATCTAGTGTCAAATGATAAAGAAAAATTAAGCTGAAATGCAGTTACGTAACGCTGAGCTCGACATCCCTTCACGTCTTGTCGCGCTTGGTCACAAAATTGTGATGACCCACCACCCCCCAGAGCAGTGGCGTGGCGTGCTTTGCGATAAATCCATATTCCCCCATTTGAAGTTATGGTGAAGAATCGATCTTATGATCGCTGCGGACATCCTGTTTATCGATCCTTTTCTACAAGTTTAAATGGCAGATCAATCGAAATATCGAAATGCACGCCAGGCCACTACTCTAGAGCGTTACGCAATTTACGGACATCCCCTAAGGAGTTAAGATTCTTTACCCAGGAGTCAAGAAAAGGTCAGGAAATGAATAACAAATAATTTAGCCAACAACCCTAATCCGTGCATCTTTTAGATATTTCGAACGGCAGCAGCACTGCATAGCAATCAAACATATCGAGGCATGGACGACAGGCCGGCGGCAGGCACTGTTCTGCCGTGATACGGAAGAGAACCGTAAGTGCATTTCCGTATGAACCATGGTTAGCATATGCTTTTATGTGTCTCTTGGCTCATCCCAGACTGCACATATACGGCTCTCTTCCGTAAAACGCGGCATTATTAGTAAGTGCAGCCGCCGCGCCGCGCCGTTGCGTCGGAGGGGCGGCAGGCGGAAGGAAGGTGTTCCCCACCGAGTTTCCGCTACGACAATAACCTCCTACACCCTGTCCCGTCCGACTGTCGCGGAAATCACCCACCTCCTTCCCGGCGTAACCCATAATTGTATCGCCATTTATCCGCATTATCGGGCAACCACGTTTTGGTTGCTCTCCTATCCCTCAGCCCTATTGTCGTTACGCGGACGTAAGGGCGTATCTCAATTTTTTCGTGAGCCTTGTTCTCCGTGCAACTCTACGCTTCTCGGGGCTCATGTGAAAATAGAGATACGTCCTTATGTTAGAGTGACGACGGATCGTAGCATATTTCCCAATAGGTTTCGAAATCGAACTGTTTTCTAATTATGCGTTTATGGTCTAGGTCAGGGTTGCCACAGTCAGGGAATACCGGGAAATGTTAGGGAATTTTAAAAAGTCAAGGGAAACCGGGAAATTTCAGGGAAAATGAGGAAAATTTCAGAGAAAAATTATCGAGTCACCTTTTTTGCTTTTTTAGACTGGCTTTAACGTTTCGAACGACAAATTTTGCCAGAAAACTATTTCCAAATATGTCTTTTTACCGTCTAGCATCTATTCAATTGTCAGGAAATTCCGCCAAAATGTGTCAGGGAAATCGGGTAAATGCCAGGGAATTTAATTTTCTAAATTCTGTGGCAACCTTGTAAGGTCTGTAAGGTGCAAGTCCAACTGGTACAATTTTGCCCATCCGTACACCTATAGCACCTGTCCTGTATGGGGAGAGTACCTACACGTTGAAAAATGGAGCTCCCAGGGCCCAAAAGGGCAGCCAACCCACTAAGAAGAAAACACTGTACAAATTCCGCTACCAATTTTCGGATTCCAATTGCATACCAAGATGACCAAAAATGTTCAGAAATGAGTAAATATATGCAAAAACAAAGTTAAATATGTGCTTTAAAAACGGCGGGTCGTAAACACTGTAAGAATAAATCACTCTAAATGATTTGAAATCATAGTTCGGCGGCCCTTTTGGGCCCCAAGAGCTCCATGTCCTTACGTCAAAATTACTGACTCGTCCGAACTTTTTCCATAAAGGTACTCTATATGGACCCAAATTTTGAGAACTTATTTTATGGGTTGAGCCAAAATCGAAATGAAAACAGTGAAGACCAGAGAGGGCTTTGCTCCCTGCGTTAGTCAAAGAGCCGCACGGTAATGTTCTGAAACAATTTTTCATCCTCCAAGACCGGGGTCTATCTCCGTCGGTTGACGAATATAGTGGAAGTTTGCGTAATTGCATTGTGTAATTTTTTCTCTGTAATCGGTACGAGTGTGGACGTGAAGTGCCATTTTAGGGTGTGCTATGATGCCAATCGATCGATGTTCATTCAGAAACACAATAAATGTCCGACGACTGAGTAAACTCCGAGCGTAGCTGTCAGTTTAACACAAATATATCGCATCATCATTATTTTACTATTATTTTTATTTCATCGCAGGCTCGCCAGGGATATGCTCTTGGTTTTTTTTTCGTAGGTTTTGCTTGGTGGACTTCTAATCGAAGAAAATTGCTGAAAATAAGGGGGGTTGGTCCGAAACCAAGCAGCTTTCCGCGCAGGGGGCGGGTGCCATCGCCGTGTTATTTTTTTTTACTTTTTCATGTTTCTGCCATACTGTGTGAAAAAATGCCAAAAATTTTCTTTTCCGGGTTATTTTATCATCATGTCTGAAAGTCCAGGTATAGAGTTCTTTTCATCCGAACTTTTTGCCACCGGTGATGACTTCTGCTGAACCTGTTAAAATTCGCCACCAAATGACACAGCTGACGCGTTACCGTTACCATTGAAATGCAGCTTTTGAGCTGCGTCTTTGAAATCTTGTCCTTGTGCTTTTTGTGCCGTACTCGTTAAGCGCTTCTCTAATACCTACGTATTGGAGCTTTCCCGTCTGTTTTGTGTTTTGTTTTTTGTTTTTCTTTGTGTGTTGTGGCTGCAACTTACCGTTGAGCGTCGCATTAATGGTTTCGTTTTCGTTTTTGTGCAGATATCGGACATCGTAGTCGGGGCTGAGCCGCACGTAAGCGCGAAGGAGGCGCTCCTCAACTGGGCCCGCCACACGACCTCCCGCTACCCCGGCGTCCGCGTCCACGACTTCACTTCATCGTGGCGAGATGGACTCGCTTTCAACGCCATCATCCACAGAAACAGGTAACCATCGCCACTTGAACTCATTCTAAAACAGGAAGTCTACTGGCCCAGAAAAATAGGATTTTCGGCTTGGAGATCTGAAAAAGAGAAAAAGAAAAAAATATCAGCGCTGTCTACATCATAATCAAATGTTGAGTTGCAGTCTGCAGTAACGTCATATCACCTAAGCCTTGAGAGGCGGAGGTAGAGGATAGTGACCCGACATGACCTTTAATATGATACCTGAGTGAAGTGAAGTGAGGAACAGTAAGTTTTCAGAAATTCGATCAATTTTTCTCGTTTATCTAAGCCTTTTGAAACGCAAGGGATCGGGAATTTTCTTCCCTGGGGGGTGCTTTGAGCGGCACTCTGAGTCTTAAATAGGGGAATACTTTTTAAAAAAGAATTGCTGTTGTCGATAATTGAATGATGAGCACCTGAAAATGTTTCATTCTCAGTCGAACGCGTGCAAATTGTGATTGTGAAAACTCCCTCACTTATCGCATGCGATGCAAACTAAACGAATTTTATTATAACGTCTGGATGCAACTATTCGGGCTTTACGGATGTCCGTGTTGCATACGTACGGAAGAGAAGGCGTTTTGACTCGCCAGGCACGCTGCTTCACCAGCGACGCGACTCGAGTCTACTCCACGCTCGTGAGCGTTTTTGTCCTAGCCAAAGCCTGCTTTCATTTCTCCGAATTCTGCAATTTTTTGTTGTTGTTCAGAATAATTCTTTAGCCTCATGCGCAGGGACAATCGTCTTTTTTGAAATCTGATTATATTTTTTACTTCATTGATGCGATATATCGCACGCCACCTGGACCATGCCACGAGCCTGAGACAAATCATTTGAACATAATGAAACCTCTGATCCAAAGTAATTTGAAAAGCCCGGAGCATGGATATGCCCAAATCCCTTGATGTCTACGGACCAAAAATATGGTCCACATGACGAATTTTTGCGAATGGATGTGGTTGATTGAAGTATTTCAGTTATGTACTGCCAACCTTCATTACAACAAAACGAACTTCCCTTCCAAAATTCTCGACCCTCGTTCCAAGATGGGTTGAAAAGTGAATGGATGTAAACGTTATCCAAAATTCATCCAGCAACTGAGTTCAATTCTTGACTTTCAGCTGAGTGTTTTTCTCCTTTGGTTTGCAACCCTGCCGATCTGGTCACAAAACTCGACCAAACCCACTCACCAAAATTCGCCCATAGATGACTGTAGGTCCTAACGGCGTATAGTCCCATAAACCAGCAGAAAACCGCGTATTGTAAAAGAGCTGAAGTTTCCTGACAATGAGATAGGATTCACTCTGCTCGAAATTCAGGTTACGAGAAACTTAGATTTCGTCCGTCGCACAATGGATCGAGTCAATAGGAGAGATCGGACAAAATTTGAAAACTTTGAACGCTTATAACTCCGTTTATACGTAACTTTGAGGTTCTTAAAGTGGTTCCATTTCTTTCTCCGTGAGATGTTCTTCTAGGAGCACCTCTTATAGTTTAAAATGTGTCGTAATAAACATTAAAATTTGCAGTTTTAGTGAAAAATTTCATGACTGACCTCTCTTATTTACTCGATCCACTGTGCGTCGCGTAAACTGAGCCATAGTTTTTATAGCATGGATGTGAGCTTGTGTGCGTGCCCACACGAGGATAAGAAGTCGGATGGCGCGTGGAGACGCTCGGCAGCTGCGCCGGGCTCATGACCAATTTTAGGAGGCGAAGGTGACGTTTCGAGGATCCAGGATCCATTTTTGAACGGCTCATTGCCGCTCTCCCCCCCCCCCCCCCCCCCCCCCNCCTTCCCACCCACCGACGCACCGATGCGTGTGTGTGTGTGTGTGTTAACGCAATCGGAAAAAAAGAGCCCCAATCGCCCCTTGTCAGATGAGAAAGCGACCGAACGAAGTTGGATGGGTAGAACTCGAAATTGGTCAGTCGCGCTGGTCACAGAATCGTTTTTTGATGCTTGATTCTTGTGGATAAACGGAAAATAATAAGATATGTCCAAACCTCAACTTTCTACGTTCTATATTAACTGAGACATCGCCCTTCGAAAAGACGGGTTTTTGACGAAACGGGAAACGGGAGGTTCTTTCAGACTTAGGGGGAAATGATGGACTAACCACTGGGCCCCTCGTGGATTGCCGTTAGTTAGTTGGTCTACTTTTGCAATGGTCCTTCTTTGTCTACTACAACCACCCGCTTCCTCTAACAGGATCTCTCCTTTTTCCCTTTTCCTCTTTTGTCTATGAATTTAAATAATCAACCCGCAGATACCCAGTCGGAGAGATCGCCGTACCACATCAGAGCCGAATTAGGGGTCGACGTGGGAACTGTTAGCTTTCTGGGAGCGTCCAGCTTAAATTTTGTCTCCCGGAAAACTTTCACGCTAATCACAATAATATACCTGATAGTTAATCCTCTGAGGTGCCACCGGGAGTTTTCCGTTCCCGGCACTCATTTTTCCCGGGAGCTCTCTCGTCACTGTTCCCGGCACTTAAAATCCCCGAGAACTTTCTCGTCAATGTTCCCAGCCCTTAACTTTCTTGGCGAACTTAGATCCTTGCGCCGGATACGATGCAGAGCGGTCGTCTCGGTGTCCCAAAAAGATCTTTCTTCTCTCTTTTCTTTTGGGCCGAAAGCTCAAGAGATCCGGATGAAATTCTAGGTGGCGGTAGCCTCCTTACAGCTTAATCCTTTAAAACTTCCCCTAATAAGTTGAAGAAGAGGGGCGGCTGCTGTCTCTCAATACAAACATGAAAAAAAACTTAACGCTCGCTGGGTACAGCGTTTTTTTTTTTAATTTTCTTTCAGTCCTCGATTTTTGAACATCTCCAGACGCGTATCATCACGTATGACTACGTAACGCACCGATATTTCCTGTTCGACCGAAAGCCGCTACTTAGCGCCGTCATACCGAAAATATGATCCCGGGTGCGTTACTGCAGCTGACCGGCGGGGGGAGGGGCACTGCGCGAGCCTCGTGACCCAGATCCTGGTCGCGCTATCGCGACCTTCACGTTGCGGCCAAACATCGTTTTCCTTGTCGACCACCCACCCACACGCCCGCGGGCTCGGATTAGTGCAAAAGTAATACAACAATATTTTTTTTCGTTCACCGTCCATCGTCGCCCTCCCACGCTCACCTGCTTGATGACCTTCCTCATCCTGCGGGCCGCGCCGCGTCCGGCGTCCGGCTAAATACTGGAGTCGCTCGGATGACAACCCCTTCTCTCCCTGAAGGGGGATTGGTTGGATGTGGATGCACTTGGGGCGGGAACCATACCTCGGAGGATCACGCTGCGCAAACACGGAAAGAATTCGTTCGCTTATAGCGCGAGTATTTCGTCAGCTGACCGTGCAGGGTTGTCACAGTCAGGGAATACCGAGAAAACCGCGAAATGTCAGGGAAAATGACGAAAATGTCGAGAAAAATTTGTCAATTTACCTTGATTAGCTTTCGAGAATGGATTTTACGTTTAGGATAACAAATTTTGTCTAAAAGCTATGTCAAATTATGTCTTTTTCGCCAAATTGTATATTTCATTTGTTAGGGAATTTTGCTCAAATTGTTAGGAAAATCTGGGAAATGTCAGGGAATTTCATTTTCTAAATTTTGTGGCAGTCCTGACCGTAAAAATATTCCTACAAGTTTGAATGAAAAAACGCAAATTTACGAAATTACGACCGTCGTTGAGCAACGACTTGTGACACCCACCTGGAGATTGTACTCTGGGCGTCGAGCAAGAACAATCCACACAGGAAGCTGATCATTAAAATTGATAGACAGAGCGATAGACAAAGAAGACTAAGAGAAAATAGAGCCATCTTATTGGTGGAAGCGGATGGTTGCCATGGACAAAGGAAGTAAATGAGTGGCTAACTAACCGCAACCTGCGAGAGCCCTACGTAGCCAGTTCTTCAGTCCATATAACAATCTCCCGTTCTAACCAATAGGATCGCCTCATTTCTCCTTTGCCTATCAATTTCAATTATCAGCCCGTGGGTTAGTGAATGCGCATCTCTTTGAAATGCACTCTTCCGCCCGGCATTCGCTCGATCGCAACCAGTATGACGTAGAATCTGCTTCGAGCCGAAAGTAATACATTGCGTTCAAACTTCCCGCCGCCACTGCGCAGTAGGGTCTCAAAACCCGTCGACGGGAATGACTGACCTGCGTGGATCGGTCCGACCTTCACTGCGTCCGCGCATGCGCCGTCTCGTTGCATTCTGACGTCATAACGCAACGCCGCGCCGTAACACCCGGTTCTTTTCTGAATGAAGTCTCGAATCCTTGGACACCCCTTCCCTTGCGCCGTGCGCGTATTAATCCATTCATGCATTCATAGGACCATTGACCATCATCGCCGCGGCGCGCGCTGTGCGATATTGTAATTGCCCTCGCCGTATGGTGGAACGAGGCGTAGAAGTGCCCCGTAGGCCTAGCAGCGGTGGCGTCAGTGACAGTGTTTTTAGAGCTATCGTCCCTTCAGTGTAAAGGTTTTCCACTGAAGTCAACGCTCCGATTCGCCCAATGATGACTCGCGACCAAAATTTTGAGAAACTGTTGTAGCGAACCTTTAATTTTATAACGGAAAATGCGCTTAGCGAAGTTCTCTCCCAGCCATTCATGAATCATGATTTGTCGATTTGTATGCCTGCTGAGCATACAATTCGGAACTCTGATATGAAACTTGTTAGTAACTCATCAAGCACCCATCGTTAGGCGACACACGGAGTTAACCCCCTATCTTAACTTCTGTCTCGCCCGATTGAATTGTAATGCTTAATATTTAATTATTAAAATAAAGACTTCTCAGAATCAAGGATTTTAGTTACGGTAGAGTGATATATCAAGCAGGTAAAACCATCGGAAGTCACAAGACAAGAAAGCCATACCTCGTGGCTGTGAACACAGCACTGATTCAATTTTGGATGAAAAATATTTGGACTTAGCTCTATGAACCAATAACTACGACCGAAGAAAAATGTATTCATTTCGTTTTTTTGCATTGGATTCACATTATTTTTTTTCTCAGATTTAATCATGATGTTGTTTTGTGTAATGTTTCAGACCAGATTTGGTGGATTGGCGTGGAATCAGGTCCAGAGCAGTGCGAGAGCGTCTCGAAACCGCTTTCTACACTGCCGAAAGAGAGTATGGTGTCACTCGCCTCCTTGATCCTGAAGGTAAATTCTAGCTCCTATTCTTTAAAAATTAATAATCCAAGTGGATTTTGAAAGATGAAGGTATCATTTAATGTAATAAATCAGTATAAGCCATTGATAGTAGTTATCTAATCCTGGCAAATGCAGGAATGCAATGGGGTAAAAAAGACAGGGTTAGGGCTGAATTTTACTGGTAGGTCTTAATGGAAGGCTTACTTTCTCAAAAAGAGACCTCATAATGCTGTGCCATACCACACCACTAGACGAGGTTGCATATGAATTTCATCTAATCACAGTTGGAGTGTTTATTCCAATCTGAAATTTATTTACCCACAAATAATTCGATACTAAATCGAAATTCGAACTTGTTTAAAAATTTCTCATGAAAACTTATCAAATACCTAACCATAAAGAATGGCCTGGTATTAGAATTTCGCCCAGTTCTAAAAATTTCATAAAAAACATTTTTGAGCTCTATTCAAATTCAGATCCAATGTTTCAAATCGCTTCATCATGTTAATCTTTCCACATGCTCAGCACAACGTTAATAACAGACGTACACAGCGTGAACGAATATTACACATTTTAAAGTTATCGCCTCTGCAGTTGTCAAAATTATTGTGTAGTTGTGTGTCTGGAGAATCCTTTTCTTTGTTTACTCGATTTTTTAGTGTACTAATTCTCACAATTTTTCATTCGATGATTTTCAGATGTTGACACCCACGAAATTGATGAAAAATCCATTATCACATACATTTCTTCCTTGTACGATGTATTCCCTGAACCACCTGCAGCTCACCCACTCCATGATAACGTAAGCATTTTTACCTCCAATTTCTAATTGCCGAGAGGGCAGTTAATGAAGTACGTAATCCTAAAAATCAGGGTTTTTACATTCTCTCTACATCCCTTAACACACCTGTGACACAGGCCTACAGGGTTTCCCAGGTTTAACCAGCATGATTTCAGAGGGCAAATGTTCGGGTCAAAATAAGACTTATTGACCCGGAGAGCATTTCAGAGATACAGTCCCCCGAGTAAGTTTTTTTTTTTTTTTCAAATAATGGGGATGGGAAAAAAAAAAATTGAGCTTTGTAAAGATGCTTAAAGCACATGTAATGTATGCTTAGACACCCTGCCCCCCTCAGAGCATTACGAGTTGCATGTGCGACCCTGAACACTGAATGAATGAAAACTGTCAAGCTAAATAAGAAATTTTGCTAGGATTTTTTCCTGTTTCCAAGGAGTTTTTGAAATCTCCTAAATAGTTTTTTTTTTTTTTTAAAAAAAACTGCAATGGTGTATCTAGCATCAAGATTGACTATTAATTTGATAGTTTCGAGACGATTTTGCCAAGATGCCCTTTCTAGGACAAATGTTTGATTAGATAGGCTGTCAAAGGACACTATCTGGTATCAGTTTTATGAAGACTAATTTAGTCTCTTGTGTACCATCTCTGAAAGAATTCGTATGTCCTGTTGGTTTACATCATTTTCTTTGTGTTTCTCAGGAATCTCAAGCTCGAACGAAAGAATATCGAGAATTAGCAACCTCCCTTCATCTGTGGATGAAGGAGAACCAGGCTATGATGTCTGACCGAACGTTCCCTTCAACTCTAATAGAAATGAAAAAATTAGCGACGGAATCTAGTAGGTTCCGAAACGAAGAAGTGCCTGTGCGACAAAGAGAAAAGCAAAAAATACAATCGCTATATCGTGAACTACAAGTGAGTACCTCCAAAAGTCCTTGAATGATAGAACTCTCTGTACTAAAAAGAGTATCTTTGAGTTCTAATAATGAGCGCAGCCAAGTAATTCTGACTCTTTAAGATTAAAATATTCTGTTACCAAAGTTTTTTGTGAAGCTCTATAAATTCGAATTGGCTCCATCTAATATTTTCCCATTTAAATAATCAATTTTGGTCATTTCGGCCATATCTCTTTAAATTTGAGCATAGCAGAACTTTGTAAGATCAGCCATATTTACTGAAATTAAAAATTACTGGATCAGAAATATACCCTGAAGAGGTAATAAGTTTTACTTCTTTTTTATGACTATGGATTTCAGAGTGAGAAAATAACAAGGGGAACTTCCCAAGCTGCTGCTCCAATTTGGCTGAAATTTTTTCCATTGACTCTTCGGAAGGATTCATTATCACCATGTTCTCCTTGTTTTTTCCATTGTGCCTTGGAAATTCTCCCACAGAGTCCGTGGAAAAAGTTTTAGACCATTTGGTGACTACAGCAGGATCAGATCCTCTTGTAAGTAAAATATGTACATATTGAAATATTCATTATCTACTTGCTCCAATACAAACCATTTCTCTGCGAAGTCTATGAGAATATCAAAATGTTCTCTGAAAGACTTCTTTAAGTTCCATTGTAAAGGTATTTTTGGATAGCACCAATTTCATTTGGATCCTGATGCATAGTCCATTATTATATGCTGCATTTCTATCAAAGTAATTGAGGAAATTGTTTTCTAATTCCCATGAATGTTTGCTTTCAGAAAATATACGAGTCAGTAGGTGAAGTAGACATAGATCCAGAGCTTCATATCGACAATTTAGAACGGAATTGGAGTCGACTTATGATAGCTCATCAAGAACGAGACAACTCAATCCAAGATGAAATCAAAAGGTAATATTTATCTCTCTAGAAACTGTGTCTTTTTTGTCTTTATCTCGGCAATATTAACCAGATCTGCTTTCATCATGTTATCTGGGGGGATGCTTAACACAAATCTGATGTTAAATCTTCAAAGGTGAGTCAGACGGTACTCCTTATTTTTCCTCGTCTGGCGTATCAGTTTCATGTCCTAAAAGGACTAGTAGTCATTTTACAAGCTGATGATAGTCCATATCACAGCTGTGGCATCTTTATCTCAAATTTTTTGCCTCCTCATGTAAGTATCCTAATGCTTCACATCAAATTTAAGGAGGAGTTAAATTACCATGTACAGTATCCAAAAATATGTTTTTAGAATGTAGGATGAAACAAAACGTAGCAATTGGCCACTGCAAAACTACATATTCCATGGTATTGAATGTTTCAGGTTAGACAGACTTCAGCGAATTGCTGAAAAAGTGCACCGCGAAATGAAAAGGGTTGATACGCGACTAGAAGATCTGGAAGTTAAAATTAATGAAGAAGCCAGACGACTGGAGCGACTTCATCCCTTAGATGCCAAACACAACGTTGATCTAATTGAGCAGGAGCTTCGCCTCACAGAGGAAAACATCCAGTCATTGTTCACCGATGTACAAACTCTCCGAGACGGTCGCTATCCTCAAGCTTCAGATCTACATAAAAGGTGTGGTCTCTATTTGTCCCTTCTCTTATAGTAACTCTAAACCAAGCACCTCTACATTTTGGGAAATACAAAAAGATGAGATCCACATTTATCATCTTAGCGTTAGTGGGAAAAGAAGAGGAAAAAAGAGAGGGGGAAAAATTTTTACTTTCACAGAAAAATTGCCCGAAGAATATTTTCTCAAAAACTTATTTAAATATACTTTCCTTTATCTATTGGAAGTGTTTGATTTCTAAAAAATTACAGGTATTTTTAGACATGAAAGTTGGAAAGCTTCACAAGCAATTTTCCAGCATGGTCATTAATTGCAGTATCCATGTCAGCTGTGGCTGTGATTATATATTTTTTCTCTCTTTTTTTTCAGGGTGACTAAATTGCATCAACGTTGGGTTTCATTGCGTTCTTTGCTTCATTCAAAGTTAATCACGCCACTAGCATCTATGTCATTCCCAATTGTTGAGGAGAGGACAGTTACTCGGCAAACACGCACTGTTCTTGAAACAAGGCTGGTTGACACCAACACTCATTTTAGAGCCCTCCAAGAAGCTATCGACTGGTGCCGCAATAAATTGGTAATAATTATTCCCTTATTTTTTTAGATATTAAACTGAGTTGAATATTCATGCATCTTTTTCGGGCTGTACATATGTTAAAATTATTCTTAGAATACCAACCGGTAATTCTTCAAATAATTTTGAAGTGAAGAGTTTATACGTAAATGGATAAATTTTGTAGAATAATTCTTGAAATCTAATCTTTCACAAGACATTTTTTGTATTAAAAATTCGGTATTTGGACCCTTAAGGTAATTTTAATAATAATTTGATAGTTCCAGTAGGAATTCAGAAATACACCTCATTTAACTTGTTCACTTCCATGCATTTTTTTCAAAATCGTCCCTGTTGAACCAGAAAAACACGCAAGAAAACGCCACTGGTCAATGAGATTTTCAGGTCCGGCGCAACCAACAGTCACTATAAGTGGCACGGCAGTGAATGTATTAAACTTATTCACTTAATCTGCCCTCTATAACTAAGGTATCTGAAAAACCTTTGGTTATACTTTAGAAGTTTTTAAGAACATCAATAATAATTCGTTCATTCGTGATTCTTGAAACTTTGTGGTGAGATCCAACCGCCACTGAGGGATTTCTTTTCCTACTGTATTTCTCTGTCCCAAGTAATGTATTGGAGTATTTTGTGATATTTTACAGAAACAAATTCAAGAAGCTGAGTATGGTGCTGATCTCTCAGGAGTTAAAACGGAAATAGAACTACACCAACGAGAGCATAGGCTCATCGAGCAATTCCATTCGAAAGTAGAACACTGTATTAATGCTCAGGTAAAATATTCTCTTACCTTAAAAATTTTGATTTCATTTTCAATTCTTTCTCTTACCCATATCCAGGGCTGGGGAAGTATTTGAAACAATAAATATGCCAGTTCAAATATTCCTTCTGATATCCGACTCAAACTCCAACCCCAAATTGTTGAACATTTTTATAAGGTTCGAATAGAAGGATTCAATATTCAAAGTTTGTTTGTTCGTTTTTTTTGTTTTTTTTTCATTTGATTTGATGCCAAAAAAAACCACATTAGCCCAAGTAATTTTATAACGCTTTATGATGATCCTTGTCTTGTTAATAGCACAACTTCCATGGAGATGAGCTAGCGCTGTACACTCAGCACTTGAACACTCTTCAGAAACTGTATGCTGAACTACTATCTACCTCTAACAAGCGGGTCTCTGACCTGGAGACACTGTTGGATTTCGTACAGTCATGCACCAACCAGTTGCTGTGGCTGAGCGAAAAAGAGAAGATAGAACTATCGCGTGATTGGGCAAGCAAGGAACTTAACACTCAAGCCATCGAACAGTATTACGAGGTGAGTCCAACATTCTATGAAATGAGTGCTTTTCCTGTTGTCATCATAATCAAGAACATGGAAGATTCTGTAATACGGAATCAAATTTTATTTAAAATTCAGACCGCCAGTGGTATATCAGGCCCTCAGTCTAAGAAACGAACTTCTAAGGAGTAACATTCAGGATTTTTCTTGCATTGGTTTTTTTGCCAGTGACTGAATTTTGAATTTTTATGGGTCTCCTGTGCATTAACTTGAGATGGTGCCCATAGTGTAATCTTATTTTATTGCGATCACTTGCATTGGTCGTAACATGGAGACGCAAAAGATGAGTCCTACAATTTTGGGCATTTTGAGATTAAAAATAACTGTTAGTTTGATTTTGTGAGTTCAAATTTTTGCTCTTTTGCCAGTCCTGGTGATTTGAAATGTGGACTCTGCCATTTAATGAATTGGTATGCCAGCCCTTGAAAACTTGATAAATTAAGGTTTTATCATAATTTTTTGTACGTATTTTTTGTAAATTTTTATTTGAACTCTAATTTATTACACCTCTACTTCTTTTGCCTGTTCAGCATTCATACGGAACAGGATTTGAGGTATTGCCCCTTCTTTGATTTGCTTTTTTTTATAATGTAATCTTAGATGCACTGTATCCATAATTTCTCCTGCCATGCCACACAAATTTTCCAGGCCTCGTAATAATAGATGTCAAATAAATAGTGCTTTGAAAATAGTGATGGATTACTTATTGGACGTTTGTATTTTTATTAGTGCAACATCGATGAGGTGCTTAACTTCAGCTCTTCAAAATATCTCTCAGAGGTAGCACCTTAGTTTCTGATGGTTTTCCTTATGAATTTGTGGCATTTGAATGATATGAATGTTCTTTCACGTATTTTGTAATCCAAGGATCTAAGTGTTTCAGTCCTTTGCTGCTAATAAGTTAGCACAGTGCTAGCCGTTTTCTCATTTTCTTTCATTGTTGTCTCTGGATGTTTATTTATTTTCTTTGTTTTGTATCTCATCACAAAACACATGAAGTCACTAATCTGGATACCATACCAGAGCCAGATCACCATTGGTCTCTTCCCTCATAATTCTTTTTTTTTTTTAAGTTTTCAGCAATTTTGAAGGAATTATTTTATTAAATTCATCATTAATTTTAAACCTAAGTATAGAACATATTTATTCTTCTGTTTTGCAGTCTTTAATGTCAGAATTGGAAAAACGTGAAATTCAGTTGAGTGCTGTCCAAGACCGTGGTGAGAGTCTTCTTCTCCAACATCATCCTGGCCACAAGACGATTGAGGCCCATATGGCTGCACTGACATCGCAGTGGGCTTGGCTCCTCCAGCTTACATTGGCCTTGGAAACGCATCTGAGGCATGCAACTTATTACCACCAATTCTTCAAGGATGTCAAAGAAGCTGAACTATGGCTCAACAAGTGAGTACTATTACACCTTGTTTTAAAATTCTTAGCTGTTTTTGGGTAAAAATGCTCAAAAAATTGAGGATTCCCTCTCAGAAATTTTCTTTAGAAGAAATTTTCTTCTTTCACTGTTTATTTTTCTTTAATTACTATATTGCCAAAGTATTACCTCAAGAAAAGAATTCTTAACATAATTGCTCAAAAATTTAAGAACAGCGATTGCATTTAGCTCATGTATGACGCACTTTTGTCAGGATGTCTAGCATCTTTGAAATACTGGGAATTCAAACTATGCTGAGAATTCTGGAACGTGATCCAATTTTCGAGGAAATTTTTACAAATTCTCATCATATGAGTCCTTTAACTCAAAGTGCACCCAGTATCAATTGTTATTGAAATTTGTATGCAAAATGAAACTTAAAAGAGTATGCAGATTGGCATGATAAACATGGAGCAATGTTTGTTAGATTTTAATGCTTCTATAATTTTTTTTTTTACTTCATTTTTCCAGGCGAGATGAGCTTCTTAACACTGTTTACAGCCAATCAGAATTCAGCTTGGATGAAGGAGAGCGGCTGTTACGTGGCATGCAAGAATTGCGAGAAGAGCTAAATGCTTACGGAACAGTTGTGCAACAATTGAGTGAACGTGCCGCCGATGTTGTGCCTTTGAAACAAAGACGTCAGCCAGTCAACAGACCGCTCACAATTCATGCCGTTTGTGCCTACAAACAAAACAATGTAAATTTTCATTCTCCTCATTATGAAGTGTTATGCTTATTGACAGATGTATAAATATTTGAAAAGTATTATGTATCATGAACTCTGCAGGCTTGCCAATTTTTGGTCATATCTGTTTTCAGAGATACAGTCAACCTCAGGCCTATTTGGTTGGTAAAAAGTTTGAGTTTGACCCCTGCAAAAAATTCGAGTTCAACATCTGTCTTTAATGTCAAATTTGCTCTAAAAAAAATTTGAGTTACAAGACTGCATGTAAATTTTTATGAGAATTCAAGAGATGTCTTTTTGAGTGTATTCTGCCAAATTTTAGCATTCCAAACACATCCAATGTCTACGACTATGTTGTAACAAGAAAGAGTATTTTACGATGTGCATTTATTATTGTTAATTGCCTTGAAGTGGCACAACTAATTTCGCCTCATCTGGCTCATTGCATGTAAGAAGTAGCGGCTATGCAATAAAGCATTTGATGCTTAGATATAATTATGTTTACGAATGCATTATTCTACATTTGCGATAATATGATTGAAACAGTTGATGATTAGTAGGCAAAAATCCCAGTGGAGAGAAATTCTTTCAAGTTATAAGTAGACACTATATTTTTGCCCTCTGATAAAAATCCAGGTGAGACACTATGTGACCTCCCCTCGTTAGGACCAGAAAATTTAAGAATCAATCAATTAATTTCTGAAAACAGACCCGACCCTAAATTTGTAGACTTATGTTAGTGAGATGTGTGTTGAATGTAAAAGTTAATCATAGAAGTTTCTAGAAAAGATTTGGTGGTTTTTGTAATTTTCTTGCCATTTTGGAAGCTTTGTGAAATTGTTGACAGACTCTCTAACAGCGTGCCATATGAATCATTGATATAGACCTTGTTGGTCGTGATTTTATCATAGGAATTTTCTATTGTATCGAATCGGATCCAGTCAATAACAGTAACATAATCCCTCTCAATGTTACCTATGAGAACCGGTACCTATTGATTTTCTGTGATGTAAGACTAATAGCATCAATTTTTCCTCACAGATTCTTCTATTTTTTTTTCCTGCTCTTGTAGAACCTATAATTTTAGAACAATTTTTTCTTCTTTTTCTTGTAAAGGTATCCATAGAAAAAGGTGATCAGTGGATTCTACATGATAACTCAGGTCGAATCAAGTGGCATGTATCCAATGGTTCCAACAGCTCCGACTGCAATGTCCCAGGAGTTGTATTTTTAATTCCACCACCAGACAAAGAGGCTTTGGAGGCCATCGAGCGTCTCAAGCGGCAATTCGACCGCACGGTTACTCTCTGGCAGCGAAAGCAGCTCAGGATGAGACAAAACATGATCTTTGCAACCATCAAAGTAGTTAGGAGTTGGGACCTAGCTCAAGTAAGTTCTGAAAACTCTCATCAAATAAATTTACTCAGTATCAGTAAACAAGAAAGACACAGTGCATTCCTTTTAATTCATTTGCACTCAAACAGGCTACAGTCCATACAAACGAGTGAATAAACAATGAAGAAATTTTGTAGCTGTGTTGCAAGCATGAAATTCATATCCAAAGTAAGAAGCTCTAAGTATTTTATGCGGATATATCGCAGCTTGTTCAATTTATCTGCTTCACATTTTCCTGAATTAACAGTGCTTACCAAGAAACAGGTTGAGGAGTTTCATAACTGTGTAATATTATCATTTAACATAATTTTATGTTTTAAGAATGAGCATTCTACGTAATTTTATCTTCCTTTCATTTTCAGTTCCTTGCTATGGGAGCAGACCAGCGAAATGCCATCAGGAAAGCATTAAATGAAGATGCTGAGAAATTGTTGAAAGAGGGTGATCCTTCTGACCCTCAACTCCGAAGGCTTCGGCGTGAAATTGATGAAGTCAACCGTCTATTCGATGAATTTGAAAGAAGAGCTCGTGAAGAAGGTATCGACTTTTGTATTTTTATGCTTTGTCACGAATAAAATCCATTTGTAAACTCTTAATTTTTGCTTGTGAATTACAGGGTCGGAAGCTCTCATTTAGTATACCCTAATGTTTGGAGCCTTATAGTTTCATATCAAACCCTGATTCTATCATGATATAATTTAGGAATAAAAAACAAATGAAATTTTTTCACTTAATTTTAGATTGTTCTCAAGTTCAGGTATTAAATCAACATTCAATGCTTGTCCTTAACTCAACTCAAAATTTGAATATTTGCACAGTCTCTTCACACATTATATTCATCATTTATGGCTCTCTCAAAATTTAACATTTGAAATAACAGGAATTCTCTCAAAGGCTACTTTTAGTTGTTGTCGTAGATGAGGTTTTCAGTATCATATTTTTAATGAATTTTCTTTTAACGTTTTTCAGAGGAGAGCAAAAATGCTATTCGCATTTTCACAGAGCAAGCCTCAAACCTTCAAGCCCAGCTGGATGAAGCTGAGCATGTTTTGAATACAAGAATAGCTGCACCGATTCCCAGAGACCTCGATTCGCTAGAGCACCTTGCCGTCCAACATAGAGAATTTGAGAATCGTCTCAAGAACCTTACCCCGGAAATTGATGGCATTCAATCCACATTCCGAAACATTACCAGAAAAACTCCAGCTCTTCAGTCAAAACTGGACAAAATTCTAACACAGTGGAACCAAATTTGGAACTCCTCTCACCTATACAACGATCGCTTGAAGAGTGTTGAAGTTGTTTTATCTGGCCTAGAAGAGGCAAATACCCTAGTTTCCGAGTTTGAGCTAAAGCTTGCTTCGTATGGAGAAATGCCTAATGACTTAGAGGCACTTAAAAATGTGCATCAAGAGTTGATAAACATTCAAAACAGTATCACACGGCAACAGCCCATCATTGACCAGCTTAATGAAGATTGCCATAAGGCGCGTCGCGTGGTTGAGAAATCAAGGCATCACATCCATCGCGGAGGTGCTCATCATGATCTGGACAGATTGGACAATGATGTGAAGAGGCTCACAACAAGATGGAACAATTTATGCGCTCAACTTGTCGACAGGTAAGCAGAAATGTAACGGATTTAAGAAACCTTTGTAAGTGTAAAAAATGTTCTTATTCGAGTGTTATAACAAATAACAAGCCAGAAAAAAACCTCTTAAGCACTTGAGACCACAGGAGATGAGGAAAAACCATGTCAGATGGAGGCAAAGTTATGAAAATCCAGGTAAAACATGTCTATTGCCCATTTTTCAAGTTTTCCATGGGGAAAATGTAAAATTTTTAAGCTTTAAATCTTGTGATAGTAATATCTTATGCCTAAGTAAAAATCCTCTATTTAAAAATAAAGCAAAATTTCTCATTTAGAAAAAGGGGGGGGGG